TAGACAATCCGTTGTTTGCACAAAACCGCAACAACTTCATGCCGTTATTGTTGAGGTCACTAGGGCCGTTCCTCACAATCACGTGTTTCCACTTTTCGGTGTCTACTCCAGTATGCGCACTGAACTCGACCATTAGAATGATGGATTCTGTGGTTAGCATTTCGTACAGAGCACCTTCTAATTTCGTCAGGAAGGACTCATTCTCCCTCTAGATTGGATGCATTGATCTGCACTGGATGATTACTACCCTTCCACTGATAGGCGGCTTTCATTCAGTGATTCTATCAATCAGGTTGGAGTCTACCAAAACTTCAACACCTGCCTCTGTATATGTCATTACGTCGAAACCTGAGCAGAATAGTTTTCACCTGTAGCGGTTTCGGAATTTAAAGGGCACTGGCGGTTCGTCGATGATTATCCAACTACGTCGAATCAACTAGCTCCTGCTGTTTCCCTCTCAGTGAGGAGATGTTCCAATTTTCGACTGTAAGATTCAACTGTCACTATTATTCCCGTTGAGCCTTATCTGACTTGCTATAATGGCTTCGCACAGTCTGCTTCCTCCGTTCAGGAAAGTTAACGGCACCGATATGCTGACTGGTATCGTCGTCGTCTTCTTGTCAATCTTCGATAGCTGTCGCCGTCCTCCTACGCCACCAGCTGCCAGAAGGGTAAAGCAAATTCTGATCGCCGACTTTTTCCAGCCTGCCTCAGTCCTCCAACAGCCTACGCGGCCTTTAATAACCCGGGCGACGATCGAGCCGAGGTATGATTATCGAGCCGAGAGATGATTTTCGATGACGGCAAATTGCATGAGAAGCAGGTGGCAAAGTTTCACGCGTGATCATCTTTCTCATCGAACACTCCTCCTTTCTCATCCGAGCTTGGGGCCGGCAGCGGAGTCCGGAGTCATTAAATTTAACAACTACACTAAAATGAGATTTACTGGATTTTAAGTTCAAATGACCAGCAGTAGCAAATCGATAACGAAAAGATTGTATATTGAAAATATCACGCAGCCAAATTTACAGCATGGCGGTGACCCAAATTAAAGAACACTACAACTCAGCTGAGCAACAACTGTACAGACGAAGGAATTTCCACTGTTTCTAAAGAACCTTGGAGTCTAGAGTAATACGCTTACGGTAAGTTCTAACACAAAAAAAATAATAAAATTTGTCGCTGATCGCACACGCACAAGGATATGATATGGTATAGTGGTACTGTAACCTGACCGACAGAAGCCGGACTTCAGAGATGCATTCATGACGTTCTATCGAACTGCCGGACCATTTGAATCGTCCATTCAGTCGATATGGTTTTCGATCATTTCCTCGTTCTCCTCTATTTCGTTTTCCGTTTCACTGTCCGGAAAATTCAAGTTCTTCGACTCACAGTAAGTGAAGATTACTGCGATGATGGCCAAAAGCTGGAAGGCGGCGTTTCCAACGTGATACTTGATGCGGAATGCGGCGTTGTCGTACAGCAAACAATTTCCGTTCTCTTGACATAGCGAATACCACGCTACACAAGCCGTGTCGATTATGCTACCGAAGATAACTGGGCTTGGTATGAAACCTGTGAAATAAAGTTCACATTAGTGATCAAGCATTGGCATCGTAACTGTGTAACACATTTTGTTAAGGCAGCAGTTCAGTAGCTTTGAAGTAAGTAATATCCCGTTTATCGCTGTCCCATACGGCGTGATTGATTCGTTATGATCCTCATTGTTCGCAGACAAATGTTTACATTGCTCTTTGTGATGCTGTAGACACTCTAACTCATAAACTAATCACAGGATTATTACCAAATAAAATATTTAACGTCATTATTACAGGATGCGTGATGTTGCGCCACTGGATGTCAATTCTAAGAAAATCAAAGAAATTAACGCGTTCGAGAAGTGATTTGTTGGAGAAAATAGAGAGACTCTTGTGCATATTGTCAAAAAACAGAATCAGCGAAATATGCCTCAGCTAATTAATCAAGATGGAAAAAGCGACCATGTTTACCTTTCTTCAACAAAAAGGGGAAGAAACAACAATGAAAACATTTGAAACTAATTGTGGGTGGTTTCATTTTAAGTATCGCACTAACGTCCACTATAGAGCAAAGTGGCCGAGGGCGGTTATCTGTCACTCGCAAAAAATTTCGCTCAAAATGACTAAGTTGTCAAAATCGTTAAACCTGTCACAACAAAAGCACTATTTTCCTAGACCGCGGAGCAACGAATGGTTTTGTCTATATATGACATGTAATTGGACACCTTGTCCTAGAACTGAACACTGATTATAAAGGTAAGGTGTGACGAATCTGTAACGAAGGACGACGTGACGAAAGAAGTGACAAAATGGCGAACATGACAATGTATTTATTAAATTGAAGAATTTCTATGCCTCGCTGCTGGCCATCTGGCGCGTCCCCCCCTTGCGGATATGGGAATGACCTCCAGACACGGCGGTTAGCTGGATATACGCAGTCGCGAACAAACAACGGTAAAACTACCAGGGCGTGACTGAATTCTAACTCGACAGGTTCGTTCCTTAGAAAAGTCACAATGCTCAATGGCAATCTCAAGGCGACCCGCCACTTTGAAGATAAAGGCCACCAGTACGACCGGTGAACTGAGGCTAGACGTCAGTTCATCAAAGGCTGGAAGCGGCAACTTCGATAAAAAAAAAGCCGGACAGAACTGGGGTCCTCTATATACAAAATGCCCAGGCCACCATCAGTACTGCCAGCGGCTGGCAAAACTTCATGTTCTATGACAACAAAGTGCTGCGGCCAGCGCGATTCGTCACCGATTGCCAGTCGGTCAGCCTGATCCAGATGATATTGCAAAATTTATGATAGGTAGCGAGTCTGACAGATTGCGCATCTAGAGTCTGAAACGTGTTTCAAGGGCATGTATGAGAGGGAACAGCAGCTACACTGTTTTGAAAATATGTAATGAATTATGATTTTCGGAACAAATCACCAAAAGTGCTATGCAGAGTCGACCCAAAAATAAGCAGGTTCAGTTAGTTCTCTCGAGTTTAGTGGCACAGTGCCCAAGAGGTCAGCTTCGAATTCCAGAAGTGCCGGGTTCGATTTCATTCTAGGACAGTCTTTGTCTTACTGACGAATTCACCTAAGCGAAAAACTTAAAACGTGTTGCTTCAGTTGTTTAGTCGGGAATGCTCAATCGGTAGAGTATTGGACTCAGAACTTAGAGGCTCTGGGTTCGAGACCCGGTCTGAGTTACTCGCCTTTCATCTTGGGTTGATAAATGTGGAAAGAAAGCAAAAGCTACACTTGTCACATAGATGCCATCGACTCTGCCTTTAAAATAAGTCACTCCGGAGGATAGCATGGAGATACAGATTAGCGCCCTACCATTATCTCCATGAACAGAAGGAAGACCGACGTTTCAACGGTTATAAACTTTCCTTCCTTACCTTCATCGTGTCCAGGCGTTAAACGGGATGCGACTGTACTATTCACCTCACGGTCAGTACTGTAACCAATTGAGGTCGGTCATTGCAGCAGATAAAACAATTGCGAAACAAGCAGTTAAGTTAGCTAAAAACCGATGGCACCTAACGCAGCATTGCTGTAGCCGATGGAATAGTCTCCCACTAACTGGCGCATATGATTACAGGGAAGTTTATATTGGGTCTTGAGTCTAAAGCGTTTGAAGATGCACATTTAACATTAAGCTCGCAGAGAGTGATAAAACACTGTGATCCAACTTCGCAGACAACAACGGTCATAATTCTTGACCAGCGTTTTACCGAATGTATATATATCTGAACAGCGGCTGTGAACAACATCGATTATGAAATGCAGTGATTTTTACGAAATGCCAGCATCCGCAAACAGAGATGCTGCATTTTAGTACTACTGACTTCAACGAAAAAGAAAACGAATACAATGCAAGTTAAATGATTTAAAAGAATACCGGTACAAACACTACTTAGCTAAATTAGTTAATCGCAAATATATACCAATTATGTTTGTAAGAAAGGTCGCGAAGCTAAGTGCCAACGATCTCTGTTCGATGCACACACTCCTAAAAAGCCAGGCATGTGAATTTGAAAATGAACTGACGCACGTTGTGCAACAAATGGCCAGGTAAAATAAGAAGAAAGTCTACCTTAACACCACCATTACGGTTGTCATGAAGAAGATATTTCCGATGAACAGGCCAACAAACATGACAGAAACGTAAATCAGCAATTCTGTGCAGCCGGAGTTACAGAAACCTCGAGTGACAGTCGCGTTTGGCGTTGCGCACCGGCAATTGATCCACTAGAAAGTTGCATTCTATCAAAAGGAAAATTTTCTACCGAAAGCTGAATGTAAAAATACAATGAAAGCTTCCTACATTATGTTCCCAATTATATGCACAACTACGGACTATCATACCAGAAGTTTCCTAAGGTGACAAAAAGTCGTAAATCACTTCTGAATCTTCGTTCTGTCGTTTCGTTCGATTTACGTGGCGTAGTCGCACTGGCACTGCCGCATCCTCTGCTATCTTCTAGCAAAATAAAGGATCGTTTAAGTAGTTCACGACTCCATGGTAGCACTCATGAAAGGAAATTGCCGTGCAACTGGAAGAACAAGTTATTTTTTCACCTGCATCTCACACAGAAAGGTTCTGGGCAAATTGCATGGACGAGGAAACCTCCCCAATTACTAAAATAAAATGACGAAAAATACATATTTCGGCGGTGTGCAAGAGGAGCTTCAGGCTCGATCTCAATCATGCCACGCTGCACTTGGATCCAGGTCTACAAGAGAAATTTTCCAAATGTCATAGTGCGCTGAAGCAGAAAAATGCAATATTTCGTACATCGGATGCTATGTTCCTAAGAGTCATATTGGAAAACCACCTCAAAGGCATCCGCATGAAACGTAACGTCAGAAGAGATCGATGATGAAATGGAATATTTCCGCTAATATGCACCAGTAATGACTCGATATTCTGAGACGAATGCCAAAAATGACAGTTTTCCATGCTGCTCCTCAGAAGAATATGTTGCCTCTTCACCGGATGTACACGGCGTATTCGCACCGTCCCCTAGTTCATATGTGCCTATGGGAACACTTGCAGTGGGTGGATACCATACCGCATCTCAGTGTTTGGTCAAAGCATGCTGCAGGGCCTACTGACATAGTACCCTCAGTACAGTGAAACAAGAGGATAGTGTGATTACGCCCTGCAAATCCGTTAAGAGACGGTTACTGTTCCGACCGGCGCAATTTTTAGCAGTCGTTCC